CTAATACTAGTCATGTGACTCTAGGTAAGCCTCACCACGGCTCACATCCTCAATATCTTTATCTGTAAAATGGGGATTTGTTGTTGCTCAGTCATGAACATGGGGATAATAAATACCTATATGACTGACCTTACAGAATTGTTGTGAAGACCAAATGTGAGAATGCAAATGAGGTGCTTTGCAACCTCAAAAGCTATATAAATGCTACGTGCTCTTTTAATGCCCTTTAATATTTTTCTGTATTTGGACAGGGCTAATCAGCCCACTAGAAGAGAGACCTGTCTTTCTGCAGACAACTCTCATACATATGAAACATGGCTGGGGCTAGGGAGGCAGTACAAATGAAACATGACTGAACTCTACAGTCTAGAGGATGGGGAAGGAGAATCACAGGCTCTCCACATTTCTACAAGTCTTCTGCTTTAGTGACTGTTCCCATGCCTTGAAGCTACATACTTACCTTAACCTCCCATCTGGTTAGCTGCCCTGGCGAACAAGACACCCCTAAAGGAGGCTGTGCAGCTCACCCTGAAGATCTTGGATATCTACCTCAGTGATGGAGACAGAGCAGAATCTGCCTGCTCTGCCCTCTGGGTGCTGTCCTTGCAAGGTGAGGGTTGATGCAGGCAGCTACTATGCCATAAGCTAGGGAAAGCTGGGTTTGGTCCACGCTTGGCCCATGACCACTTTGCATATGTGGGTTCTGTGACAGGCTGCATAGAGGGTGGTGAATTTGAGCACGTGACACTTCTGTTGTTGAAATGTATCCAGTTGCATATGCAAAGACCTATCTTGGTGAATAATGCCTACCTGGGGCTGGCCAGCCTGGCAAGGACTTCAGGTGAGAGCCTGGGTGGGTGGGTAGGTGAAGGCAGAGTGTAATCCGGTCACTAGGGACCTGCTGAGCTAGGACAGACTGTGCTTTCTATAGAGTTCTTTCCCCACTTGAGGGATGAGATGGTGGGACTAGATGATGCTGACGATTTTTTTCCATTTCTAAATTCTATGACCTTCCCTCTTGAGTAGTTAAGAGATTCATGTCCAACTTACCAGGAAGGACACGTGATCTCTACCCCTGAGCCACCCTCCCAGGTCCATCAGGATTACTGGCAGCAATGACGGCCACAATGAGAATTAACTCAGCCCCATAATGCTGTTACTGCCAAATGGGAACTGTTGCCATCAAGAACAGGTCTGGCCTTTTGCTGTGACCACCTACGTCATGTGATTTCAATGGCTGCAGAAAGCACCTCTGCTTAATTTGTTAGCTGATTCCTTTCTTTAGGGGGAGGGAAAGAGGGGAAAGGGAGAGAATAAAACCTTTGCTTTCACAATGATGGATCAGGCTTCAAATGCAAATGCAAAGACTATTACTGACTGGCTTATAACCTTGTAAAAGTTGACCTTGTAAAAATTACTTCCTCTCCGGGCCTCAGTTTCCCTATTTCTAAGACAAAGGAATTGGATTAGATGCTCTCTAAGGTTTCTTCTATCTCTAATGTCCTGATTCTAGATAATAGTGGTTTATATTCACACTCAGTAATGAATGACTGCTATCATTAATATGGGAAGTAACTGGACTTCCTTTCCTGAAATCAGGTAAGGTGGACCTAGGCAGAGATCAGGAGAAGCCTGAGAGGTGGGGCACTGAATTGTAAGATGACTGGGGTGAGAGTCAGTATGCTTAGGTTTTAATTCTAGCTTTTCCACTTGAGTCAAATTTTCTTTGGGCAAATCCCTTCTTCTCTCTGGGCCTAGTTTCCTCACCTGTCAAATAAGGGAGCTGGATTTTATCTCCAAGATTCTTATTCAGCCCTGAGGTTCTTTAAAATCCTGGATGTCAAAAGAGAAGTGTCCTCAGGGTGAGGAAATAGCCCAGGGAGGGAGACTATTACTGAAGGCAACTCTTACCACTTTGCCATGAGATGATCATATGGCCATACCCTCATGAAATGAGCCATGTATGTCTTTAGGACATTCTCATCCCTTTCTTCAGAGCTGTCAGCCTTTCGGATTATGGTAATCGATGAGGACAGCCCTGGAATATCCTTGATCAAGGTAACTTACCAGGCATACAAGGATGACCCAGAGGTGGTGGAAAACATGTGCATGCTGCTGTCGGAGCTTGTTTTATATGGTAAGTTCTTGGCCTTCTTGCTGCTTTTCTCCCCAACAGCAAAGAACCAGAAGAGAAATGCCCCCATTGTCCCCGTGACCAGATGGAGCACTGAATGAGGAAACCCGTTCCTGTAGCATCATCAGACCAGCTAGCCAGCAGATGGCAGTGTTCCACTCCGAGTCTCACCTAGATGGGGGGAGCACCAGACCTTGGACCACAGCAAGTCTCCAGATTCTCCTCTTTATTTTATCTTGAACAGGCTACTAAGCTCTTGTTCGGGTTGTATAGCTCTTGCTCAAAAACTTTCAATAACTCCCCACTGCCCGTAGGATGAGGCTAAACTCCCTATTGTTCAAGGCCACCACATGGTTTCAATTTATTTTGCCACAGTCTGCTCATACCATTCTACATATCAAACCGAACTATTTAGCTAATCCCAAAATGTTTCCCACTTCCTTGCTTCCATACTCTTACTAAGGCCGTTCCCTATACATCTGATCCCCCTGTCACCATCCATTGAAATTCTACCTTTTAGTCTACATATAGTTTCCCTGAACTTTGCAGACAGACCTTTCTCTTCCAAAGTCACAGCTTCCATTCACTTTCATACTCTATTCAAGGACTAGAACCTCTGGTGTGAGGCCTTGCCAAGCCCTTTTCAGGTCTGCTCATCCACCTTTGGTGTCCACCTTTACCCAGCTCTCAACTGTGGTTCCAAGAAGTGCATGTAAAGTGGCTACATCCTGGTAAAACCATCTCAGCAGATAGTGCAAAACCAGGTTGAGGGTAACTACTAGGCCTCAAACCTGTTGGCAAGTTGGGCAACGTCTATCTCGGGGGTGGGGAACCTGCAGCCTTGAGGCCACATGTGGTCCTCCAGGTCCTCACGTGCAGCCCTTTGAGTGAATTCTTTAATAAAAGTATTTGTTCTGTGAAGTTTGGCTTCAGTCAAAGGGTGGCACTTGAGGACCTAGAGGGCCACATGTGGCCTTGAGGCCGCAGGTTCCCCACCCCGAACTCTATCTCAAGCATGTGAAGATCTATTCCTCCCACCCCTACCCTCACCTCCGTGGAAAGGGCAGATGAGAACAATTTGTTCCAATGGCCACGAAGGGGGCTGAAGCAGGCACTGTGGGGCACTTAGAGCTTGGTCACACACTGAAGATGCCAAGATCACTCACTGCATCCCGGGTCATCACAGTTGTTTTAACTTTTGTCCTGCCACCGGACTTGGATGATGGGAAGAATGAGACTGACAACTTCGTGCAACTGCCTCACTAAATCCAATTCACGCACAAGTCAAAACATCACCCAGTGATGTTATTGGTCCTCAAGAATGAAGTACAAACAACTGGACTGGAAGCCTTTAACGAAAGAGCCTGAACACAGCAGGGGCTGAGTGTATTTTGAAGTTGAAAAGAGGCATACCAGCTATCTCCCAGCTCAACACCCTACCACCCCACCTTGGCAAAGGCAGCCCCTCCCATCCTCTGAGACTGAGGTTAGGTGCTACCTGTCTTTTACAGGAAACCTTTCCTGGTCTCCCCAGCAGTCGGTGCTCTCCCTAAAAGGAAAGGCTGAAATAGACAGCCTCTGAGATTCCTCACACTTTAACAATATGAGAAGTACACCATGAAGATGAACCCAGGAATTTGGGGGGTGAATTTTCCCTGGAAACCTTTATATTGACCAGTGAAGGCTATTTTTCTCTCCTTTGCTCAACAGATGAGATTGTGCCAGAGTTGTTCTCTAATAACATAGATCAAATGCTGCTGGAAATCCAAGCAAGGTTTACATCAAGTGAGGTGAGTAGGTTGGGGTATATCCTTATGCAAACCATTTGGGTACACCAGTCTTTGAGCCTCTGATATTTTCTGGTTATGAAGTTTGGAGGTTGAATCTAGTAGTCTATCATAAAGATTGTAGGCTCCTGTCTCTAATCACCTTCTGGCTATTTTCCTTGGTTCCCCAACACCAGGTTTGTATAGTTACTGGCTAAAATCAATTTAAACAGTTGCATGTGAATTTCAATTAAAATTGGAAAAAAAAAAAAAAAGGCTCCCATTCAATACTATGTTCATGCAGCGCAAAAATCTATTTATTTGTTGTCCAGACCTTTGATCTCTTCAACAGAGACCTCCCTAGTGTGGTCTGCCTTCCAGGCTCTGAGGCCAGTCCACTTTGTACAATGCCATGCTGCCTCTCAAAACATCTATTATAACCAAACTGTGTCACTGCTTTCCTACAAATCTCCCCAAGCTTTGTGTCCTTGTATGGAAAAATCAAATGTTATTTTCTACTTCTAGGAGCTCATAAAACTTGCGACCAAGGCAATTAAGAAAATGAATGAGTCACTTCCTAAAATGAAGCCAGAAAAGTTTCAGAAACAAAGAAATACAAAAGTCCATCAATGAGAATATCTGTCCTCTTATGAGATGTCATCCTTGCGCCATCTTGTGTTTAACTGGGAAAAAAATAAGACCCTGTTCTTCTTTCACCACATACTCAGCCAGTGAAAGTGCTACTTTTCCTTAATGTAAAGATTTTTGGAAGAACTTAGCCCTAAAAGCAATCTGTCTCTAACAAGAATTCAAAGATAGATAATAAAGGGGAATAATTAATTTCACCTATTGTTAGCTTATATAAATTGATGAACTTTTGACTCTGGATTGGATTCAGGGTTCAAAAGAAATTCTGGTCAGTGCTCTCACTAGAGGGTTGGCTAATCCCGTAGAACCTAAGTGTTTCATAAGCCTCTGATCAACTTCCATGACAACAGTTCTTTGGAGTTAATCGCACTTGATGAAAAAAAGTTTCATCAGCTATTAACATCCTAAGCAAGGAAGAAAATTGAGGACAACAGAATCAACAAGAAAGTTCATTTTAAAAGTACAAAGTAGCATTTACTTCAGATAATATACACCCAGTACAATTATACTTAATAAAAAAAATCCTATTTTCTTTGTCACCCAGAAAATATGGGACAACTAACAGTCCTCTAGCCTTGTACACTTTAATTAGCACAGTATGTCTGTGTAACTCCTGATATTAGGAAAATAATAAACTCTCAGGCAGGTCTAGAGGTAGTCATCCTGAACCATATCTATTAAGCTGATCTTTAGTCTCAGAATGTGATCAAACTTCTAAGTTTTTTAGTTAGACTTAGTTTAGTTCTTAGAGACTTCTTAGGCTCAAATATCATAAGGTCAATAAATTATTCATTAAAAAAACAAAACAAAAAACCCCTAAATAACCCCTAAGAATGCAATTCTTAAAGGGGCTCATTTTATTTCAGGTTTGTGTTAACAGTAAGGTTATGACTGGAACAACTAACAGACATTTTGATTAGATGGAATCAACCTAAAATTTCTAATTTGTATCATCTAAATGTTGTAATTTAAGGATTCTGGGAGGTCAAATTTTTTCCACAGCAGAGGCCTACTTCAGGGGCTCCAGTTTTAAACAACTAAGTACCCTTTGCAGACACCACCAGATCAAAAAAGGAAAGCTTAAACTTAGGCAGAAACAATGGGATATCTTTCAGACAAGACTCCTGGGAAGGTATTAGGTGTATATGCCTCCATCTGTGGTCTGCCAGATACGGATGAGATTTTTTCCTCGTGGCAGCAACAACTGATTAGGGTGGGAAATACTCAGGTCTGTTAGTGTCTCCAGTCAACTTTTAGCAAGGTAAATTACAGAATCAGAGTTGTCTGGCTGCTCTGGGTCCACTGGACCCCTAGATACTGCTCCCCTCCATTTACCCCCAGCATGGTCCATGATACCATTTCACACACAAAGCTCAAGAGAGCAGGAAGGGAGAGTAAGATGGCAGTGATCCTAATTAACATGCCAGTTACATACTATATACCTCCTGCTGTACAAGTGCATAGACCTATTGGTCCAAAGTGATCACATCACTGCACGTGCTGAAGAAATTATTTAATTATGAAAATGGATTACCGAGAGCTGCACATCTTCACTGAAGCCCAGAACCAGTCTCTGATCTTCACTTTCTGCACCCAGAGGAAAGGTCATCCCTCCTCAAAGACCCCCTCATCTACACTCTAATTATTATGCCTCTGATATTAACAGTGATTTCTGGAACACAAGAAAGGAACGTAAACAAGAAACTGTGAGCTCCTGGACAAGAGCTACTGTATCTGAAGAGGGTCAAATTCCCCTTTAGTAGCACACATCCCCTGTAGCCACAAGTTTGAATTTCTCCAAAAAGTGACCATCTTTGGGAATATTTCATCTGTGCGAACTCCAAGGGCCACACTATCAACAGATAAGAGAGATGGTAAGCTGACAGAATACCCGCCCTCCCTTGGCTCAGGAAAGCCCCTGTTCCGTTTCTTCAGGGGACATGACCACACTGTTGAGGAACAAGCCAGCAGGCAGGGTAGGCAGCAGAAATGGTGACAAGGAGGGCTCAGTTAGGCTTTGTCCTTTTCTCTCTTTTGTAGTTTATATTTGTCTTTGATGGTTCCTTCCCAATGTTTTTTCACCATTACATACAGCCTCATTGCTGCCTGGGCATCTTGAATCTGGAAGTCAAGTGAACCAAACCAAATTAGAAAGGTAGGTCAAGGTAAAAGGGCAGGGTATCATGTCATTTAGGTGCCTTTGCACATGGATATAACTACACATCCATTCTTATGTCTCGCACTTGCTTGGTGATAGTTTACAAGACAATCTGGATGCAAGGATAGGCACAGAAAGCCATAGTCAGTGATGACAGTGAAATCTGCCTGACACTATTATCCACAAAGGTCACCTACCGAACAGTGTTCTGATTGCTGTATTTTGATACCAAGAATTTTCTCACTGAGTAGTTTCAGAGATGGTCTTCCACTCTGCAAAGGAAATGATGAAGGTTACAGAGATGGTTTGGATTAAATAAACACTTTCTGTTTGGGGAAGAATTTAAACTCTTTGTCAAGGCAGGGATGATCTCCAAGTCCCAGTTGTCAAGGAAAGAATAGACTAAAAGGTAAAAAGAGGGCAATTTTGGTTTTGATGGCGATCACAGACCTAGTAAGGAAAGAATGGGATATCACAGCTACGTGATTTGTCTTCTAGTTTACCTGTCACCAAACAAATCTAAGTCTCTCTAGTATTCGGGACAGTTGCCCCTGCCAAGTAATGAAGATATTTCCTAAGGCACCACCGTGGCACTACTTGGTCACTGATTCCTTTCCTTCTTACCTTTCTGCCAATGTCGAATAGCAAATTATCTGTAACTTACAGTCTCGCAGAGTTGCTTGGGGAAGTGAAAAGTTGCATGACTGGTTTATGGTCACACAGCTAGGATGTCAGGAGTATAAGCCATCCTGTCTGCAATTCTGGACCCTTTACTAGGCCACACTACCTCTGTTCACTGTCACTAGCAAAAATTTAACGGGTGTCCATCTTATCAAAATGTATTTGGCAATGAATTTAAGTGAAGCGATACAGATAAAGCATGATTACTTAATGTTAAACTTTCTTTGCTTCAATTTCTCTTGTGAAAGCCATTTGTAATAACATATATACACAAAAATCCTATTACGGACATCAGAGCATAAAAACCAACCAGACAATAACACATTTTAAAGGAAGGCAGCCAACATCAATCTCCTTTATTTAAAACTATTCTCCCTTTTCTAGGACTAAAAACAAATCAAACCTATGAGCGCACTGCAAGGTGGAACTGCTAACAACTGGGATGAACTGAGATTAAACTGACACACTGAACAATCAGATTTTCTTTCTCCAAAAACGTTGCCTACCTTTACTTGTGTCCTGAAAGGTTTATATTTCTGTGTGTCCCGTATCTTCTTTTTGGGATGATCAAGAAGCAGAATCTGGAACACATAATACAAATACAATTCAGAATCACCAACCTGAATTACGAGACTCCATCCTGCCCTGCCAAAAAGCTGAGACAAACATAAATTGATGTTATCTTGCCAAGTGACATCACAGTCACCCAACCTAGGCAAGCCTGGAACAGGCTGACATAAACCATTAACTCATAACCTATAGAGTTACACTTTTTCTTTAAGCTTCAAGCTGATTCAATATTTATTGAGTGTCCACTCCAAATCTGTAGCGGACATGAAAGTGACTAAGACAGAAACCCTATTCTCATGTACTCATCATCTAGTATGAGATTAGATATAACATATAATATTTATAGTTATATAATAACAATATAACAACATAATGGCAAAATGTGATAAATGACACTAAGTAAAACAAAACATGTTATCAGAGCAGACTGTAAATCAGGCCCAGGTTTCTCAGAGACACTCTTATAGAAAAAAAGTACATCCATGGAGACAGCTGTTCTATGGTCCAAGGGCAAGGTTCAATCCCCTCTTATCACTTGGGAGAAACCCCAAATTGATGGCCACCCTGAAGACTTTTTACTCAAAAACAAAATACTGGAATGATTCTCTGGGAAGGGACCCCATGTTCTATAACACAAATATCACTACCCAGAGTTTAGGTCATTGGTGTCCATCTAAAGACATAAGCTGACTGGCACAGTATAGGCATAAAGAATTACAATAAAAATAGAGATGGTCTAGTTAGGCTCCTTGGAATCATGTACCTTTAAGTCATTATGCAGGGCGTGTCCAACTAGAATTCTGCCCTTAAGCAGTTCCGACACCTCCTTTTGGACAATCTGGTACTCTTCTCCTGGAAACCCAAAAACAAACAAACAAAAAACCACACCCTTATTTTAGTAGAATGGGAACAAATGAATGGTGGAGAAGCAGGTTACTACACAATCAGCAAGACAGTGACATTCCCAACTCCTGATGGAAACGTTACCATTAAAGCGCCCACAAAGACCCTCGGTCCCTGAACTGTGTATATGTTTGCAAATCCCAAATAATCACCATAGACACCTGAGAAAAACATATTAGCTGGATACTCTTTAAAATAATAACCCATTTAGGAACAAGCAGGGAGGAATGTTGAAGAGAATGAGAAGCATGCAAGGCTCCAAACACTTCTTTCTTTCAATTCAGGCAGATACAGAAAGTAATCAAGGCAGGATGTAATGGGGGAACTAAGGTCAAGAGAAACTCAATTTTGTCATTTAAACTCTCCCAAAGACCTTTCATGTCATCACTGCCCCCTACCCAACCCACTTCCACTAATAAGACTGTAACCTTTCTACATCTTGGGATACTATGATTGAGAGTTGTAGCTAAAAAATTCAACATACTGCAACCATCTGGTGATAAGCTTCTCTATCACTGGGCTCACACCTGAAGCCTCTCCAGTATCACTGACAAAGCCTTCATGAATACAGGGGTTCACGTCCACACCACAGTGAAGCATCAGAAAAGGGTCTTAGGGGAGGCTATTCTTAAAATATAAATGGCAAAAAAAAATCCTTGTTCAAGATAATTACCTTAAAACTAGAATTACAGAATCACATAACATTAGCCCTGGAAGGGATCTTAGAGAGAGATCATGCAGTTCAATCTTCATCATTTTTCAGGAGGCTCAAAGGTGTGAAATACCTTGTCCATAGTTGCACAGCAGAGGGAGAGAGGGCACAAGGACCTAAATCCAGAATGTGGATTTTCCCTATAAATAAGAAGGCCTCAGCCACCTGACCTTACTTGATTTCCTACCAGAACACAATGGATTTTAACAAGTGTGGCACAAGAGCACAAATGAATACAAAGAACACTGTCCTTGGCTTCAGAACAGTTAGACAGCAAAGGCCCAAATGAAAGGTTCCTCCTGAAGGGGTGAATTCATAAGTTTCCCTCTAAGAGAATTATTGACACTTGAGATATAAGTGAAATAGAGTTCCACTGTTAAGTCCTTTGTCATATGCCATTCATGCTTTTTCTCCCTTTTTAAGTCCCTAGGGGCAGTAAGCTTCTGATAGGACTCTTTGTACTACTACTAATGTTTCTTACATAGAAAAGGGGGAGAGATAAATACAGATGTTTCTGGTAATCTTTCAGGTTGGTTCTGGTGTTTATGGTAGGCACTTTGCGTACCATGTCTGATGTCTTCTGGCCGAATCCCACTGACATCTGTCCGGTAATCAGTCACTTTCTCTGTTGGCTTTACATACTTGTCATAAACACACTTCCCAAACTGGTTCACGATGGACACTCGGGCAAGGATGTTTTCTTCCCCATCTGGCCCTGCTCCCACCATCTCACAATCCATAGCTACGGCTTTGGTCACGCTGAGAAAGAACCAAAGATCTAGGTTAAAATACTTGGATTAAGGGTGAATCTCTGCACATTCGTAACTTACAGCAGGGGCACAAGTGATTAACCACCCTCACCGGGCCTGTTACTAAAGTGACAACATGCCCTGGGTTATTGCCATTTAACTAAAGAGGTCCCTCATGGAAGATTATTCACATTGCCTATCAAAGAAAAGGGAGGCAACCCATCTATGCCCTTGAAGACTCCTTTGTTCCACCTATTCTATGTAGTACATCTCTCCACAGTTTTTTACTATGGAGAACCTTCAACATACCCTTCAAATGCCCCTTCTTTCACCAGTGACAGATTTCTTTCCTTCAGACCCAGTTTTTTTCGAGCTATTTTTGCCGCTTCTGGACCAATGGCAGCTTCGATATCCTTAGGATCTACATCATCAAACCAGATGTCTGATCTAAAAAGCAAAGAAAAGACACTTAGCACCAAAAAGGGGAAAATCCACCTCTCCACTTCCTTTTTATCGGCTATCAGGAGGACTATGGCTGGCTCCCAAAGACAATGTAGGCAAAGGATATAGAAGGGATTCTTTAGATCAGAGGTCTATAAGCGTTTTTGTGTCATGGACCCTTTTGGCACTGTGGTAAAGCCTATGGACCTGAACGTAGAATGTTTTAAAATGCATAAAATAACATAACCTAAATAAAGTAAAACAGCAAACAAAAACCCAATTATAGTGAAATGATTTAAAAAAAAAAAAAGGTCATGGACTTTAAGTTCAGAATCCCTGCTTTAAATGGCCTTGTGTGTTTTGAATTCTGACATTTTGACCCTGGCTTTGTTCTAAACTTGCCACTCATTGTGTTTCTATCAAGCACACACCAAAGGAATTAATAGATCCATGTCCTAAAGCTCATTTCTAAAATAAAACAAGTCAAAACTTAAATCTCCATATCAAGGAGTCAGCAACATTAATTCAATGCTCCACTTAGCTTTCCTGTTTTTAAAACTCAGTGCCCACTTGTGGCACAAAGACCATGGAGGCTATCTGTGGGAATTAGGATGGTTTCTTCCTCCTTAAACGACATTATTTGCTCCAATTAGATAAATTCCAATTCCAAAGGAACCCAGGAGGTTCAATACTCACTCTGTTGGTGGAGGAGGAACTAATTCCTCTGCTTTCCTCTTCTCATGCTTGATGTCCCTTATTTTCTGGTGAAGGCCACCATTTTTTCTTTTCTTGGTTTCAGTTCCATTGCCTGGGCCCTTTGTTTCGTTGCATTTTTTATGAGAGACAACTTTTGGATCATTCAAATATCCTAAAGAAATAGAAGCCTTGGAGGAGGATTGGCCTGTTTTGCCTGACACCTCTGGCAGTTCTGCATCACCATGCTTTTCCTTCTTAGAAACACTTCTGCCACTCTGGTGGTAGCTTTTGGGTTTTCTGGGATTCCCCTGAGAGGCAGGAACAGACTTTTCTGGATTTGGTGTTTTTTGTTTCAACATCTGATAAGAACCAAAGAAACCCACATTTTAATCTGGCAATTAAACATTCAAAATTTGTAGTTCCATTCCTAAAAACATCCTTCCCTACCATGAGCATTTAGGCAGCATCATCTAAACTCAACAAACATTAAGTAACTACTTATGTGCCAGATGCATCAACAAAACTGATGTCTCTACTCTCAAGTAGTTCCTCTTCTGCACTTATACAATAACAATTATTTTCAACTCTAGTTTTTCTTTGAAATTAAACTACTTAAATGTAAAAAAATAAAAAAACCCTTTCATTTATATCCATATATTATTTCAGTCTAAACTAACTTTTTCCAGTTGTAACTTCCAATCTAACACCTATTCCTTATTTCTGCAGAATTTCAAACACTTAACATAAAATATCTGTGGATTTGTTTTGAAGCTTTCCCTGATTTCCCAAGCCTAGGACCCCACCCCCTTCTTTCCATCTCTCACTGCACTTTCAACTTACTTTATGCAGTTATAGTCTATTGTTACTGTGAAAAATGACCCAAAATTTTACTTTAAAATAAAAATTTTTGCCCAAATTTCTTTATTTTGCCTCATGGATTTCTTTTCCCTCGGGAAAAAAAAATGCCACATAAACTGAGAGCAGGTAGGTGGCACGGTGAACAGAGCACCAGGCTGGCTTAAGGTCAAATCTGGCCTCAGACATATTGTAGCTGTGTGACCCTGAGCACTTCGTGTAACCCGTTTGCCTCAGTCTACTCAACTGTAAAATGGGGATGATAACAGCACCTACCTCCCAGGGTTGTTGTAAGGATCAAATGGGATAATAGCCTGGCACATGGGAAGTGCTATATAAATGTTAGCTATATAAACGTTCCTAAACTCTATACAAATCTTTTTATTACTATTTCTGAAGCTTTCAAGTATTCCCAAATTCCAGTCCTGTTAGTGCTAAACATAAAAGTCATTTCCTCCCCTTCATTTTAAAAACACGTGGTCAGTGCCATGCGACGTCCAGAAAAAAAAAAATTTAAAGAAAATGGTTCGTGGATCTGGAGCTGGAAGGAGCACTAGAGATCAGCTACTTCCACTGCCTCATTTTACAGATGAGGAGACCGAGACCTGGAGCAGCTAAGTGGCCTGCCCAAAGTCGCCCGGGATAAGCCCAGAGGTGGTGATTTTCTACGAGGCTGTGCTGGGAACCACGCTCACATCTTACCTCCTGCAAGGCCCTCCAGTTGTGGGAGAACTCTTGCGGCCCTCTGGGGGGCAGCACCGCCCCCGCCGCCGCCCGGGCATGCTCACTCTCCGGTTTCTTGGAAGCTTCTGCGGCCGCCTTGGGGTATCTTTTCCAGAATTTCTTCTTCTTCTGCTGTTTCTTCCGATCGGGCTTCTTGACAAGCTCCGGCTTGGCCACAGCACGGCCCTTGGAAGGTTTGGCGGGCCCGGCCTTCGCTTTCATCTCGGCGCCATCCGAGGGCCCCGAGGTAGCTGAAGACGAAACGACCCCGTGCGTGAGCAGACCTCAGACCCGCCCGCGAGTTCGGGGTCCCCTACCGCCCGGGCCCCGCATTTCCTGAGGCTGCTCTGGGGACACTGGGCTTCTAGGTACATGCCCCCTTCTCCTTTCTCCTCACTCACCTGAAGCCCTGTCCCACCCCGCAGGGTTGGAGGTCCCTCTCCAGCCTCTTCACGTTAGAGAATCTAGCTCCCAACGCGCCTGTAGAAAGCGCCTCGGCTTCCGTAGCCCGATCATTGGCAGGTTCCCGTGCCGCTCCGCACGCACACACGCGTTGACGCACACACGCACGCACGCACGCTGCTCTCCCGGAAGCGCAGGCTCTCCCGGCCGGCTGGGACAGATGCTCCTCTTAGCAGAGTTCCGAGGGGATGTGTATAGGTCCGCGTCGGTACTCGGGGTGGAAAGGGACACAAGTCGGGGGCCAGCCAGCAGAGATTGGGTGGTTGGATTCTGCAATCACAGCCTGAGCTCTCAGGAATAGAAGACAGCGGACTGGGGGGAGAAGGGGGAAGCCGCATAGGACGTGAGGAATCGGGGGGACTGCAAAAGGGGTAACACCAAGATGTAGCGTTGGTACCTCTGCTTTGCTGCCGTTCTGCCGTCTACTCATCTTCCCCCGTCACTTTGTTCTTCTCCCTCCTTCCTTTCCCTCTCCCCTTCCGTCTCTCCCCCTGCATTCTCGAACTTTCTCCCTCTCTGAGAACTGGGACTGTCTCCCTTTTTCTGTTTATATTTCTAACGCTTGGCACACGGTGCTAAATAAGAGCCTTTTCATTCATTCATTCTGGCCCAGTGCTTATATGTGTATCGTAGATATACAACGTATATATGTATGCACACATATTTACATACATACAAGTACGTGTATATACATACATATGTGTGTACATACACATACACAGGCAAATACACGCCCACCAAAGGTGGATGAGCAGCTCTGAAAAAGGCCCTGTGAGCCCTCACACCAGAGGTGCCAGTCCTCCTTGAACACCCCACACCTGGTACTGAGCTCTCACTTCTGGCTCCAAGAAGCTATAGCATGTGCAGAGACCACACCAAGGTAAAGGTCTGGATGGGCTAAACCAGGTTGAGAGTGACCAACAGGTCTCAGCCCCTGCAGTGAGTTGGGGAAGGGGCAGTGCTGTCTACCCCAAGCCTATGAAGATGAAGGAGACCGATTTGTTCCAAGGGCCGTGAAGGTGGCTGAAGGGCCATTGCCAGTGGTCTTGACTTTTGTCCTGCCCCTGGACTCTCTGGAAGAGAGAGTGAGGCACTGACTTAGTGCAGCTTTGCCTCACTTAAATCCAATTCACCCATGAGGCAAGGCATCTGCCTATAATGTCATTGGTCCTCTTCAAAACACAAGGACCATCACCACCAACAATATACACTAGATATTTAAGTGCATATATGTTTACATATTATGTATCATAACTAGTATTGATACAGCACTTTGAGGTTTGCAAAGAGCTTTATAAACATTATTTCATTTTATGCTCACAAAAACCTTGGGAAGTAGGTGCTATTATTATCTCCATTTTGCAGATGAGGAAACTGGCTGACCGAGGTTAAGTGACTTGGCCAGGGTGAAACAGTAAGTGACTGAGTCCAGATTTGAATTCACATCTTTCTGCCTCCAGTTCTAGTACTCTATCCACTACACCATTGTTGCTGCCCCTATATGCCACAGTCATCCATGTCAAACCACAGTAGATGTGTTCATTACCACAACGAAGGATCCAATAGGCACACTAGTGCTTTCTGGAGCAATGATGTCCAAACTTTTTTTGAATTCCTATCAGTAACAAATTTGATTGTGCACTTCTAATATACATGTATGCAAGTGATTTATATTATATTTATAAACTATATACTTATATAAATTATATACACTGAACTAATATGAGCATTATAAAACATAAAAATAGACATTTTAAAAGGATGAGATATTTAAATAATTTAAAATTTTATCAATGGTACAAAACCCCTTTTTGCCCTCATTTAAATTATTAATATTTTTAGTAAAAGCAATGTGATGCTTCATTGTTTTTTTAAATCTTGACTTAACACTATGATGCAGAAATTCAAAGATCTGGTTCCAAGTAAGTACATTTTCTTTTCTTTTTTTGTTAGGCAGTGGGGTTAAGTGACTTGGCCAGGATCACACAGCTAGTAAGTGTTGTGTGTCTGAGGTTGGATTTGAACTCAGTTCCTCCTGAATCCAGGGCTGGTGCTCTATCCACTGTACCACCTAGCTGCCCCTAGCACATTTTATTTTGATAACTGTTGCTAATAGCTGTCACAGCTTAAAAGATGCCTCACAAAGATCCATTGACCTAAATGGAAGGACTGCTTCACTGGCTGTACTTACTAAATTGTTGCTAATTTTATTTATATTTCACTTTTAAAATTTTAAACAAACACTAAAAAGAGTATTTCCACACAAACAGTAAAACAACTGCATATTAAACTGTGAACCTGCAATTTATACTGTTAATTTTTTAAACATATGTAATAAATTCCACAGACTACTTTCAAAACTATTCCGCTTGAACCAGGAGAACGTTGTACACAGTAACAGCCACATTGTGCAATGACTAGCTTTGATAGACTTAGATCTTCTCAGCAATACAATAATCCAAGACATCTCCAAGTCTCATGATGGAAAATGCTATCCATACCCAAACAAAGAACTATGGAGTTTGAATGCAGATCGAAGCATACTATTTGCTCTTTTTTTTTTTCCTTCTGTTTTGTTTTGTTTCCTCTTTCTTGTGGTTCTTCCTATTGGTTCTAATTCTTCTTTGCAACATGCCTAATGTGAAAATATGTTTAATAGGAATGTACATTTAGAGCCTATATCAGACTGCACACCATCTTGGGGAGGGAAGTGAGAAAGGAGAGGGAGAAAATTTAAAACTCAAAAGCTTATAGAAGTGATTGTTGAAAACTAAAAATAAATTAATTAAAAAAAAACTATTCTGCTTATTTTTGCTTCATCTGAACTTCCCTCTGTTCTCTTTGGTGAATTAAAAAAAATATAACATGTTTCAATGGCCCTTCTTTTTCTTGCCATCTCTGTTACTAATCCCATCCTTCTCTCCCCTTCCTCCAATAAAAATGGAGACAAAAAAAAAACAACAAACCCTTGTAAGAAATAAGCAGATGAAACAAATAAGACAAGATGAACCCACACAATGACCATTAAAAAAAAAGTATGTCTCTTAAATCTATTACCTCTGTCAGGATGTGTGTAAAGTGCTTCATCATAAGTTGTCTTGGGCACATGGTTGGTTGGTCATTGCATTGACCTGAGATTTTTAAGCTTTCAGTGTTATTTTTATTTACAATGCTGTTGTCATATAAATTGTTTTTCTGGTTCTACTCAGTTTACTTTGGTTCAGTTCATGTTATTCAGGATTTTCTGAAATAAACTTTTTTCATCATTTTTATTGTGCGATAATATTTCAGTACATTTATATACCAAAATTTGTTCAACCATTCCCTATCTAGTTCTTTTCTTTTCCATTCCCCCCTTTAAGATCATGTGTTTTTTTGCTCTATAGTAGGCCTGCTGTATAGGCATTTTGGAGAGTAGTGCCCAGGCTGAGAGGAAGTCCCAATAAAAGGTCAGTTCTTTCCCCAACTTTCCCTCTTGATGACTATCTGTTCACAGACATTATAATATAATCTATTGTTTAGTCATCCAAATGTTTCCAGTGAACTGAATTTCGCCTCAACCACAATGAGGTCACAGATTAATGAGAGAGAGAGAGAGAGAGAGAGAGAGAGAGAGAGAGAGATGTAAGACTAGGCAGAGAACTAAACTTCTGCTTAGGTGTTAAGAATTTTCCTAATTGGAGGCTCAGAGTCATTGTGACTAACCTTAGAAGTTTTCATATAAAATAAATTCACTAATGTCACAGGAAAGAAACAAGTGGACCTTGTGGGCCATTATATTTTCCCCAGGCTTAAACAAATTATTATAACAAGTTATTTTATCATAAATGCTTGTAAATCCTCTAAAGGTTCATTAAAGGTTCTTTTTTTTTCCCCACGTAGGATTACACTGCTTTGTATGATAAATTATTCTTAGTTGTAATCCTATATCTTTTGCCCTTTGGAATATTGTATTCCAAGATCTTTCATTTATTGTAAAAGTAGCCAGATCTTGTGTGATTCTGACTGATTCCTTGGCTTAGCACAGTACCTGGCACATAGTAGCAGCTTAATAAATAAATGCCTCTTTTATGCCTTGCTATTTGAACTACTTTCTAGATGCCTGCAGTAATTTTTCTTTGACATAGGAGCTCTGGATTTTGGCTGTAACATTCCTAGGACGTTTTTTATTCCAGGAGGTGATTGGTGGATTCTTTCTCTCTTAACTTTGACTCTAGTTCTAATAGATCTGGCCAGTATTCCCTTATGGGTTCTTTCTCTTTTAATCAAAATCTTTTTTTTTTTCCAAGAAGTCCAATAATTCTTAAATGATCTTTCCCTGATCTGTTTACCAGGTCAGTTGGTGAGGCAATTGGAGTTAAGTGACTTGCCCAGAGTCTCACAGCTAGAGAGTATTATATGTCTGAGGCCTAATTTGAACTCAGGTCCTCCTGGCTCCAGGGCCAGTGCTCAATCCACTGTGCCACCTAGCTGCCCCTAGGTCAGTTATTTTTCAAGATGAGATATATTACATTTTCTCTATTTTTTAAGTGTTTGATTTTGTTCTAACGTTTCTTATTTTCTTGTGGAGTCATTGTTCTGTTCAGTCTATTTTAGTTTTCAGGGAGTCTCTTATTTGGGTAAGATTGATCATTTTCTCTTCTAAGTTACTTTTTCTCCTTCCACTCCTCTCCTCCAGAGCTGTTTCATTTCCTCCAAGTATTCATGTGTGAAAAATCATTCCCCCCCTTTAATCTCTGCTTGGAGCTGTTACAAAGTAACTCACTCCTTCTTTGGGGGGATCTCAAGAGCCACACTAGTTTTTTTATACTGGTGGTGTGTTCTTCGGATTATTCATCTCTCTAGCTTTTGGGGCTTTGTGCTAGGACCAGATTCCATCCCCATTTGTCAATTTAGGATGGAATGGTTAGCACAGGTTGGTCTCTCCCTGAGTCACCTGTGTTCCTGTGCCAATTTCCACCAATCAGGGTTAGCCTCCCCTAGATCTGTGAAGTTCCAAGTGCTAGAACCTTAGGTCTCTCTATGTCATCTCAGGACAATGTGTTAG